TTCAATCAGATAAATGGTGATGAAAAACCTACAAATTATAGCCTTAGTAAACCACAGAGGCATTCTGAGGTTCCTGCTTGAAAATGACATGCCCAAAATGAATTCATTATCTCTCTACAATTACAAACTCCCTGTAAACCAACTTGGTATCTAAATTAAGCTAACACTTGATTTGTGCCAGGTTGTTACAGGTTGCGATTCCTTTGTATATTTATAACAGTGTTATTTTCATATTATTTAGTGTCATCACAAATAATTACTTCTTGCCAAAGGTAAGCTGAAGTGCAATGTAGTAAATATTACACTTTAAGAAAACAGTGACACAGTGAAAGTTGACATTGTCTTCTTAAACTTACTTTATCTGGTGTTTGTTTCCCTGCATGTGGTCCTGGTACATCTCCACAGAGTTAAATTGCATACTACACATCTGACACAACAAGGAACTGCCTGGAGAAAAAGATTAGAAAGAAGAGAGATTTTTTTTTTTAAAAATCCAACAACTTTCAACGGGCCAATAAAGATTTAGTAAAGTCATTTTTCTACTGTTTTACAAATTCTGGTTTTCTCTAAATCATTCATACCATCTCCACAAAGAGATGCTGTAGCGCCTAAAGCTGAAAATAAAAAACAGGAATCTGCTTCGTTAAACTTTCTGACATTCTGGCTCACCTGATTCAATCCCCTCGAGTCAGACTTATCAGATTAAAGTCAGATTATTGTTATAATAATAAATAATAACAAAACCACAGAATTATAGCTAATCAGACTATCTGAATCACATCCATACTTACTGTAATAATGCTACAAAGCCAACTTCTATTTAATTATCTCCTATTCACCCACCTGTGCTGGGATAAATCTTCACTGCTGATGTAGATGTTTCAACTAGATTTTTCACTTTTCCCTTCAGAACTTCCTGTTTCTTTTTCCCTTTCTTGTTAATGTTTCTGTCCTGGTTTCAGGCTGCTGTGGTGATTTTTATTAAATTCCTGAAGGATTTAACGCTCTTTGTATTATCCTGTTTGCTCAAAGGCAAAAAGTTACCTTGCTCTACATTGTGTCCTAGCTGTTTGAGCAGCTCCTGTCTGGCCTGATTCCTCTGGTGTTTGCGTCCACTGTAGTGCTGCAAGGATACATGGGGATTCGTGAAGGAGGCAGTACACAGGGCACAGTACTTGTTGGGATCCTTCAAATCAACCTCTGTGCTACATGTAGCACTGGTGACTGCTGGATCCAAATCATGCTCCACAACACCCTCTGAGGATGGTTTTTGCTGAGACTTATCAGGATCCTGTTGGAGACCTGATGAAGCATGCACTTCTGTAGACTTCTCTATAAAATGACAGTGAAATCATAATGTCAACATATCTTCCTCACTGTGTGTAAATATCAAAATCTACATCAAGAAAATGCTTTTTGCATCACAGAGCTCAAACTTGCCTGATAGGTGAAGACTTTGTTTACGAAGATTTTTTGTATGGACTTTGCCTTCATAGTGTGATCTTGCCACCACAGGTGAGCTAAATACCATGTTGCAAAGCTCACAGAAATGATCTTTATCATTACTCATCGTCTGCTGCAAAAAACAAACAAAAACTATAAACTACTTATTTTATGAATACAAGATTGCTTTCATATACCCCTCATATTCTTTTGAGAGGGATATTATTAAAGCCCTAATACTGTAGCTCTGATATTCTTCACTATTGGATGCTTACATTAGTTTGTCCTCACTCAGTTCTCATGATTACAGACAAGAGACTCCATCTGACAGAAAAAGAAAACTTTGCCACTAACCTGGGCGCCTGTTGACTTTTCTGCTTTTTTGGTCTGCAGGTACAGCTTGAGTTTCTGAGCGTGTTTCTTTCCCTGCAGTTGGACAACATGTGAGACATTATTAGAAAATATTTTACTTATGGCAGGTCTAATTAAAGTTGTACTACGGTGCTATGATTTGTGCCTGGAGGATAAAACACACCTCATAGTGAGACAGCCGCTGTGACTTAAACAGCAGCACAGCCTCACACACATGGCAGTAACTGTCTGTAAGGAGACACTTCAGTAGCGCCTCTTCAGCTTTGTTTCCTGTGCGGCAGAATACATGAAAACTTATTTAAACATGAAGCACAAACGAAACACTATTAAATTATTAAATTCACATAAGAGAAAAGTTTGTCCAATACAACTTCCATTTTCTCAGTACACAGAAAAAAAAAGGCTGAATCTTTAACTTTCACACAACCTTTATTGGATCATATATTAACCTATCTAATGGTCCTTTTTCAAAACAAACTAATTTGTTTTGTAATTTGTTAATTTATACAATGTGCTTTGCCTTAGTGTGGTAAATCTCATTCAACATTTACAATGATTTTAATATGACCTGCTAATTCTACAAAGGTCTACACAACTGGGGAGTTGTGAATATAACCGCTTAAATACATATTTCTATTAAAACGTTCCCCTTATGGAAAAGTTTATTTATCATTTATGAGGGAAAAGTAAGATATACTTTTATTTTTTTTAATCTTCTAAAACTATTTCCGCTCAATACACACTTCCTAAAGTAGCATGCAACACACATGTTGACACATACTGCCTGTTATATTGCTAGCCCATAACAAATTGTGACTTGATTTCTTCCATTCTGCAGATTCTGGTTGAGATGCAATAGCTGATTCACTAGTGGTGCATTCAGTGCCAATTAACTAAAAGTAGACGTAAAAAAAAAGAAAAAGAAATATGTGACGACTTAAATGCCCACACATAAAACAAAAAAGTTAAACTAATTCCTAAATAAATAAAAAATAGATGACAAATTACCCTTTTGTTGCAATACCTGTTTAGTGATTTACTTTTAAAAAGTACAGTTTAGTGATGACACTCACGCATGTGGATTAAATATTATGTTTTACAAGCAAAGAAATAACTTGTCTGCTCGGATATTTTGATAAAGTGTGGCCCAGAAACAACATTAAACCACACTGAATGAGCATGATGTTTCTGTGTTATTTCAACAACCTAACTGTTCAGCCAGTCTTGTATTGCTCATATTTTCAAAACTTTGAAGGACATTTTGCAACACAGAAATATGAAATTTATTAAAGTGAAATCAACGAGTACAGTGCTGATACCAGTAAATAACAATGTTTAGGCAAGATTATTGATGTTGTAGGCTGTACTGAACTAATCATAGGACATGATGACTGGTGGAGACTGAATTTCTGTTAGAAGAACTAAAATTGTTAACTACTTTACTTCAGTAGTTTTTTTTTTTAATTAAAAAAATAACTTATTTAAAATATCTGCGTTTGTCTCAAATGTAAACACATGCACTTGCAGAGGTGCTTATCATGAAAAATTTTCCCAATTGAAATTACGGGACAGTCTGATATACTTATAAATACTGAAAATTACTATGAAAAAGAAAATAAGGCAATCAAAGGTGATGAGGGTTTACTTTTAAAGTGCTGAGTATCAACACTGGCATCCTACATGAAGTGCTGTGAAGCACATATAAAGGACCTCAGGACAATTAAACACTAAAAGGTGTTTAAATGCAAGAAATAAAAGACTGAAACAAGTACTCTATATGTACTCACTCTGATGCTCCTGAAGAATTTATGTGCACTGATATATTTCAAATATTGTACTTACCAAATGATTATCCATTTCCATTTATTATCCTTTCACCTTGAGAACACTGTTTTAGTTTACTAATGAGTTTAACCGGCACAAAAAGGGTGGATGCCAACTTTAAGTTTTAGCTTCAATGATGCTTCAGGTGCTAAGGTTTGCAGTCCTTAATATTGTTTTTTTTTTTAATGGCGACATTTCAGACTAAGTTTACAATTAGACTAGCTTTCCCATGTAGGATGAAATAAATTATGTCATCCACTTAACAGTTTATGGCTTCTGCTGCTAAAACCGGTTAGTCGACGAATCGGTTAGCATTAACTACCGGTATATGGAATCATTTAAAGGGACTGTTTCGTTTCGTGTGGGGGTCGAACTTGCTGGTACTAGCTCTGAGACAAACAACATAAGGAAAAGTACCCTAACTGTTCATGGTTTAATCATCAAGCTGGGCCAAGGGTAAGAGGGAGATTTTCGGGGCGATAGTTTCTACTATCCTCCTCGTAGAGACCGCTATAAAATTCTGAAAGCCCCTCACGTTAAAGCAGATTAACGTTAGGCAGCCGACGTTAGCAAATTTAGCTAAGCAGCTAACGAGCTCACTAGAATAATGAGCTGGCTAGCCACATAGCAGAAAAGCTAACAAAGGCGCAGCAGGTAGGGTGCCATACGGCTGAATTTTCACATTCTGAAGACAACTCACCTTCAACCTGGGTACTATCTATTTTATTGTTTATTACTTTGTCAGCATCTGTGACAGAAGTCGCGTTAGGGATACTGGCAATGTTATTTTGAGAGTCTGACTCCGCAGTTAGCGAAGTACAGCCACTTGTGTCGTCCATCTTTTTTTCCCTACCTGAACGTGCATGCGCAGTAGTATTGTAGTTCTGGTACAGGAAAGCTAGTTTTAATAACTTAGATCCTCCGTATTTTTTCGTCTTGTGTATTTTAAAGACTTGTTTTCATGAAAATCCTTTAACGAATAATCAGAAACGGCAATGGGAAAATCTCTCTGTTATGTTCAAATGATTTACTTCTTCTATCGAAATATCTAAAATCACGACTCTGCGCATGCACAGCAGGACCCGGATCCTTAGTATGTAAATGGAACTGATTCATATTTATGTATTTGCTACTTTTTTATCATCTAAGAAGTCAGTGTTTTCTCTCTATGCCTTATATTCATATCATTAGCTGCACCAAAAATGAAGAAAAAAAACAAGTTAATATCAAAATAGATATTTTATTCTGGGACATCATTTTCACATCGAAAAAAACAAGACAAATTTACTAACAAACATTACAAACAGCAAGGCCAGATGATCACAAAATCACGTCAAGGCAGAAATACAAAGGAAGTGGGTTACTATAGAAAAGAAATCTCTGGAAAGATGTCACTTTCTCTTCTGAAGCTCTCTGGCTAAGGCATCCAGCTGTGGAAAGAATTTAGTATGGCATTAGACTAATACACAGAAATCAATACAGGCTACACACAGATATGCACACTATGGCTGGATAAGCACAACTTCACTAATATGTGTATGTCAGTCAAGAATTTTCAGTCAATGTCAGTCAGATTTCAGAGTAGACAAAATCTCATGATCATATGATCATAAGAAATATACTGATGGCAAGACATTGTGATTCAAGTACCATTAAACATGCTACTGTTCATCTCTGCTTTTCTCACTTACAAGAATGTTTCTCAGGATACTCCTCCTCTGGGGTCTCAGGTAGCTGCATTCCCCTGCTTCACACAGCTTAATCTCCTCTGAAATCTAAGAAGCAAAACAGATTGAGGTTAAGGGATAAAGGGTATCTTCATTCTCAACAGAAACTGCTCAGTGATTGGTTAAATTATTCACACAAACACTTATCCCAACCTCTGATGTGCCAAAGGAGTCCAGCTCCCTTTTTCCTCCAGGATACCAACCATGGGACCAGTGCTGGGCAAAGGACAGCTGAGCCCCCACACAGAGAAGCAGCCCCAAGAGCAAAGCCAGTCGAGACACACACATGATATTCCCACCTAGAAGAACGGACATAGAGTTAGTTTGAAAAATATTTGAAGAACACATTCTTTATTGAGAATTTCCTGCAATAAAAGCTAAAAAGAAAAGTGTTGTTAGCTGCAATAAAGTTAATTTTAAGATCTGAGCTAAAACATTTCAGTGCAAACTTGCTATATTGTTATGGATGCTGGCTATCATTTCAGGCGAACATCCATATTTTTCACTGCATTTGGAAAACTTTTACATAACATCACTTTAAGCCAGGGGTGTCAAACGTAAGACCCGCAGACCATAATCAGCCCTGCAAAGACTTCAATCGCGGCCCACTGGATGGCTCTGGAAAACGTGAAGGAACACATACATTTTTGAACTTTTTACTGCATTTTCACAAATTTTACAGCTTTTCCCACTCATAAAGAAAAATGAGTTTGACATCCCTGCTTTCGGCGCTTCTATCATTTACTCAATTTTGAGTACAATATTCTAGTTGTCCTTTGTCATTCTGAAAGTAAATATTGAAAGTATCAGATCTTGAATCGAATAATAGTTTTAGATAAACTACTAAAACTGGGCAGAAATGTAATCATTTGTCCTTACCTTAGTCTTAGATTTCACAGCTTTATCAGTCCAAGTTTCCCTCAGTGTACCTGCAGGTGTTCACTTCAAAATGTTCTTTTCCTTTGGTGGATTTAGTGCTAAAATCAGCTTGCGGTACAACCGAGGTGTTTTACTGAAGAGATTCTCTGCTCCCTCTTTCTTCCCCTCAATATATAGACCAATCCCCCAGCACACATCATTGTCTTCCTTATTCTTCCCCGCCCATCTTTGACCCCTTTGACTCCCTCTTCTTCTAAGGGGTCAAATGAATCATCCATGGGGACGAGACGTACATGCGGTCCGACCAATTCCAATTATCATCTGTAAACAGCACTGACACCCATCTATACCACCAATATCCTCTTCTACACTATGTCAATTTAAATAAGACATTCAAGTCATTATTAGTGAGATCCATCATCATTCTGTCACAGTCAGTGCTCATTGAGGATAAACCTTATACATGGTCAGCTTGCTTTCATTACTGGCTCTCAACAGGCAGGGCCTTTTAAGTAAGAATGCTTAGCCATACAATGACTGAAGCTTCAATTTCCTACTTTTTACACCGGTATTGACCACAATGAACCACCACACGTTTTCTCTCTGACCTTGCTGACACCTCAGGGGGATCTGATAGGAAGAGGAATGAATACACTGGATTCCTGACCAATCCACAGGTGACATTATTGTCAATTAGAGGAGAAAAGGTATTTATGTTTCAGTTCACACCCAGGAAGTGACTGCATATGTTGCTACAGATGTATCATAACTCATTAGACATAATCAGTCAGTGGTAGATGCTACAACAGGCCAAGCTGACCATTAATAAAATCAGTACATTTTGATGTAAAAATGTAACCTTAATGGCCAATTCGTTTTCCCATTGCCTTATTCATCAAATACTATAATTTACTTAGAGGGCTAAGTTTGGTCATTATTAATGTATTTTTTCCCCTACGAAGCAGAAATGAAACCATTTTCACTAAAGGTATTGCCTTTACATATTTGTGTGTATTATTGTAGGGTTCTTGCAATATGAGGCAACTGATATGAGGTGGCTGATGTGATTATATATATATAAATAAAATTGAATTGAATCTCATGTTGGCGCGTAAATGAAACTAGCCCCGTTTAAAAATGGATATCTGCAGATTAGGCTCGACAGTGAAAGGTTTGTTGCTAAACATCCAGTTCTTTCAGTAGGTGTTGCAGACTTTGTGTTAACATTTTGACTTAAAGCTGCCTCTTAAATCACAGCATTTTTCAGCTCTTGATATAAAATTAGGAATTTCTTGTCAGTGTCAATAAAAATAAATACTGTACCCATCACACCGAGTAATATTAGGGTTAAGGGTTAACTCAGTACTAACACTACCAAAAATAGTCGCTTTCCATTCTTTATACCTTTCAATACTTCAACAACACCAGTGAATGAATGGTGCAAAGGGTTCGATATTGACTGGAAATCTTTCAAGAGCAGGAGTGCCTGATCCTTAAGGTAACCACAACCCATAGTCAATTATTTGGCACCACAGCACCAGCATTAGTTATTGAGAGGTGAGCTGTACATGTGCGTCAGATCATCGTGACTTTAAAGAAGCAGAGAAAACGTGGACGCACAAATTGTACTTAGAGATGGGATGTATGCTGACAAGAGGTTAAAATCTCAAGCACTTTATTAGGTTTGAACAGTATCTTGCTTAGAAAGGCCATTTGGCATTATATAATTATATATAATTTTATCATATATAATTATATATACATATATTCAAATGTTGAATAACAAAAAAACACAAGAAACAAAAACTTAGGCAAAATAAAAAATAGGATTTGCTTAAGACAATCATACCAAATTAAAAAATGGCCGAAACACATCTGTAATACATTTGAAAATGGTCCCGATACAGTTCAATATACATCTTTATAAAAAAAATTACAGGAGGGAATAGAAAATAAAATAAGCAAGGCAGCAGACAGGAATGAATTATAAATAACCTTACATTATGTACAAAAGCGGAGAGGGTGTTGACCACTGGGAGGAATGGTTCAAGAGAGAAAGTGAAGGATAAAAAGGAAGCAACAAGTGAGCGGAGATGAATAGGAGACAAAGAGAAGGTGATGAGAAGAGAAAAGTTGGGCAACAGTTTTCTGCTGTCTCCCTTTCTAGAAATGGAGACCGTGGATTGAGTTTCATAAGGGCATTCAAAATGCTCCAGTGGGGGAAAACTCCTGGAATAAAGGGATAAAACAAGGGTAACTGGTTTCCCTTGGTGGTAAAGGATGCAAATCCTATTTCTGTGTTTTAGTTCTACATTCGGGGTACCAACACTTGATTACTAGTCATGGATCCCACGTTCAGCTGATATGGAATGAACTTAAAATACTATGCATTTGAAAAAAAATAAAATAAAGGTGTCAATGTTAGTTTGATGTACACAAGCACGAAATCCACAAATATACAACTACAGGGAATGTGAAAGAATAACTGACCCACACTTGGTTCTGGCTCCCTCAATTTGTCACACAAAAAGGATTTGTCATTGGTCAACAGGTGAAACATGAGGAAATGCATGCGAGTTAAGAAAACTCCAGGGATGATTCATTTGTTTTGAAAACCTACCCGTGAGGCACTTCATCAGTTCACTTATAATAACAAAATTAACAAAATATTGGGTCTCACAGTTTGGCACAGTGTCATGTTTTGTGGTCAAATTGCAGTGAGACATGATCACATGATTGAAACGTGCACAACAAACCCCTGTAATTTAAGAACAGACAGTAACGCTAAGCATCCCCTCTTCTATAACCTGATGAAACACCCAGTGAGTGTCAATGTAAATAAATGAAAAACATAATGGAACCTAACCAATCGTGTTAGCACTTGTGATGCTTTGGAACAAAAAGACCTGAAATGAAGAACATGACCCACTCACAGCCAGCAGTGATTTGAGTGACTGGTCAGCTTAGCTGTCCGCTACTTTTAAGTAATCAGCCTAGGGCTTTGAGACCTGAAAACCCTTCAACAGATCAAACACAGTATAGTCACCATATTGTAAAAATCAAGGCCATATCTTTTTGACCTTAGCTCTCATTTGGTTCTGTACTTTTTAAGGGCTTTACATTTGGTGCAAAGAGTGCATGAGTGTTCAAACAATCAACATTGATGCGATCACCCCTTCTCAAAATTTATTATTTTTGAAAACGATATAGCCACTATCAGTTTGACACACTTGATTGTGCTCCTTCTTTTAATAAAATAAATTAAATAAAGGAGTGCTAATGTAATGTAGATTATACACAAGTATGGGTCTGTTTACAGTTAAAAGCTACAATAAGAAACACAGAACTAGCTGGAAAATTCTAAAAGAAGGAGAAAAAAAAAGATTAAATTTTTTATTACAGTCTTTTAAAATCCAGCTGTGGGATCATATCTGAATACCCTGACTTTGGTGGAAGCCAGTACCACTTGAAGGTGACACAGCTGCAGAGATCAACTCAAGTTGAATATGTTCAATTTGTAAATTTAAACATCCTGGCATCAGTCATTTCCTGAGCGGACTGACCTAAAACCCTGCGGTTAACAGACATCATTTATCTTTTATTACAATCAAAAAAGGGCATGGCCTCAATGTTGACCTTGGATTAAATAAAAACACTGTAGTTCAAGTCTGAGCGCCATCCTACGACATTCATTTAAAAAAAAGCATTGCATGGCACATTTCCTCTTTTAAAGTAACAACAAATCCATTTTTGAGAGAAATTGTTAGCAACAGCATTCGAGTAAAAGAAAACATTCCTCAGTTATCAATATTCATGATGGGAATTAAAAAGGCATCGCTCTGAAGGAGTGACAGCGCAGTCTCGTGACCCGACGCCAAATATTTAAAAAAGAAAAGGAGGGAAAAAAGACAGTAAATCCCAGCAGGCTCAAAGGAAAACTATAAACCCAGACAGAAAGGAAATACAGTCTACAAAATTAAAAAAAATACTGAAGTGCTTATGTAAACAAAACAAATGCTGGGTATTGTTGATTTGTATGATGCAATAATGAGTTACTGTTTATGATTTGGCTCGCCAACATCATCAACATTACTGCTGATACCGTAACAGACCCTAGAACGTCATATAAGCCTTAATAAAACTACATGTCTTGAGTGTACGGGGCATATAAAATCTCAATGTTTTAATTAGTGATCCTTGGATAGCTCAAAAGTTTTGCTGTTCTGAACGTCTAAAGATGAAAGTCTCCAGGCTCCAGAGCTACATACCCGACTAAGTGAAGGACTTTGGCACTTTGCAGACACGAGAAAGCGATGTGGAACCACGCCACAGCGCTCTCTGCCAGCTTGTGCTCCAGTTCAAACACACACAGACGCTCCAAGAATAATTAGCGGCTCCTGGTATTTAGGGTGTACGTTTACACGTATTAAAACCTGAGACTATGAGCTACATCAGAGATTCCGATCTCCAGTAATGAGCTACCTCTGAACCCCTGAAACCTAACAGAGAGAAACTGTAACTGGCTTGGAAAGCTGGTTTTTTTTTTCCTTTTTTTTGCCAAATTGAGGCAACCGACTCAATGTAGAGAAAAACTGCTTGTGTGAATGTCTGAGGAGTGAAAAACAGTTCAGGGTCTGTGGGTGAATGTAGAAACTTCTGCTACCACACAAAGTTGCTACAGTGTGGCTCGGGCAAAGTTTAAAATGTTTTAGGTCTCTGTCCCCAAGGTGTTTACAAAAATAAAAACAAATGGTTGTTGTACATTAGCCACCAAAGCATTAGATTTATAGTCATATATATTTATATATTTATACCAATAAAATACATTACAGGTGCCACCCTAAAATGCAGCCAAACTCAAAACTGTGTCTAAAACCATAATAATAAAATGCAACACAGTTAGGTATATATATACATATTGGGGAGGGGGGGTGAAGATGGAAAGCAAAATAGGGGTGAAGGGCTGTATTAACATCATTACAAAATATTCAAGAAGGCATCTCAGTTTTTTTCTCTGTCCAGCTGCACTGCCCTGTTCTGTCCTTTGGGAGGAGACCTCTTTTCCCTTTTCCTCTGGGCAGTTCAATCCCATCCACAGATCAAGCTGTGATGAGTTTTTTGTTGTTGTTTTTTCAAAGATCCATCAGATGGGGATACGCAGTTCTCTGCATGGCAACATACTGAATGTGTGTGCTCTGGAGCGTGTATATGCTTTTATGAAGTGCATGTGGATATCTATTCATCCATTCATCAATGGCAGGTCCCTACTTGAAGTTGGCATAGTCAGAAAAAGCATCAATGTATTCTTGAACCACTTTGTAGCAGAACTCGTACTGCTCCTGCAAAGGGGAGAGAGAAAAAAAAAAACAGCTACATCAGCTGGAGCTATCAATCTGTGACAGTTCAGTCACTGAAGTCATCGAGCCCACAATCTGAGAGGCACTGCGTACTCTCAGGCTAGCAGCTTGTCAATCAACCTGCTTTATCTCCCTTTTTGACTCTTGAAAATACTGACTTAGTTTTTACAGATGTCACAGAGCAAGAGAGCCAAGGGTCCCTTTTCTCATAGACCTCTACAGGACAACGGAGGCACTGGTCAATAGAAAGAATGTGGGTTTAATACTCTTCCACATTAGCTTCAGTTTTCAGACCCAGAAGCTACATACGCCCCTTTTCTACTAGGAACTGCAGTATTACCCACTCAGCTTGACTCGACTCAGTTTTTAGGGTTTTCCATTAAGCGTCTACAGCCAGCTGAGTCTGAACATTTGAAACACCTAAACAAGATCAATAAGAGCATCTTTCAAGGAAGTCAGTGTGATGAAAGCAAACTCTCCTCGTCAAAGACAAACTTGCTGCATAATGGGGCATTATAATAAATGAAAAGTTAAAGTTCAAGTGTTATAAGTCCTTACCAGTGTCTGCACCATGTGGGGTCTCTGCAGTCTGAGGCTCTTCACTGTCTGGAAGACATCCAGGATCCCTTCTGCTTTCACCCGCTCCAGAACTGTACTCAATGCACAGAAAGTCCCTGTCCGGCCAGCACCAGCACTGTAAACACAAACACAGCCAAAAATGCAAACCTCAGTATGCACGCTGGAGTCCGAGCCTGCAGAAATAACACATGCAAATAACATTTGTTTTGAGCGTACTTGCTAGAAACTAAAAAAGGGTAGGAACTGATCTGGGAGCAGTTAAAATGTCATAAGGAAGAAGAGAACAATTAGTCTGAGCTGTTTTTTCCTGTGGTTTGTTTAGAGGAACAGTTTCCCAGCACCTACAATTGCAGGGCAGTTTAGAAGTGTACAACAGAAAAAAATGTAATTATATTAATGTTACGCATTTATCTCCGTAAATTTTGTTAGACTGGCACATACAAATTCAAAGGTTAGGGGTTTGTGTGTGTCTGTACTTTCTTACCTGCAGTGCACAGTGATTGGGTGGTTGCCAGATTGCTGCTGTTGTCTCTGCACTGCAGCAATTAAGTTGATCATGCCTTTACCATCAGTGGGGATGCCCACCTCTGGCCAGCCATGGAAATGGAATTGACGCACTACTCGAGTCTTGTTCTCCTGGAAAGATGGATGATAAAACAGATAATAAACAGATAATGTGTTTGTTCCATGTTAGAACTGCTCGGTTGTTTTATAGTATTTCATCATTTCATTGAGCCCTTTATTACCCTGATGTTGGTGACCAAGAGGTCACGCACTGTGTAACTCTCATTCTCTTCCTCTCTTTTAAGCTCAATTGTGATGTCTCCATGGGTCACTGCTGAATCACTGGGCCAATACTGAGCACATTTCTCCTATAGGACACAGGACATGGAAAAAAGTCAAATAAAGGTTGATGACATGTTAGAAGTCATAAAATACCAAGCAGATTTAAAATGTCAGACACATCTGAAATATATGCTAATTTTTATATTGTATATGTACTTTAGTACTGCATCCATCTACTTGGAACACAGAGAGAACCTTTATTACACATTAATTACAAAAACTAAGGAAAAAAAATGAAACTGAACTGGTAACGCTGGAATCTTTATTTCTAATTCTGGCCTTTAAAAAGGGATTTACCGTTACTGTTGAGCTTTCCAAAAAAAAAAGAAAAAAAAGTTGCTTTTACTTGCTGGGAATAATTTATAGTGCAGTTAATAGAGATTCATGATAAAAACATGTCCACTGGCAAAATAACAGTTCTGCACATGTACTGCAATTTGTACAATGCAAGCCAGATGCACACATGCAGAAACACACCGTTTCACTTCACAATTCACCCGAGAATGTTCCGGTTTAAGATGTTTCTAATATCAAAGTAGTACAGTTATAGGTATCACTGAATTGAACAGTACATGTAAGATTTTATTTCCCAACAAATCGAGCGTTTACTGGAGATAAAACAGTTGACTGAAGTTGCCAGCCTGTCATATGTAATGTAATTAAAAGTGACCAGTGATAAGAGGGTCATTTCCTCACTTCCTATTCGCCACTGAACTGTCAAAATCCAGTTGATTCACAGTAGAAGAAATGATCTTTGAAAACGGAGACACCAGTGAGAGCGTGCACTCAAACTCTCGCACTCTCAGTTGCTGCTTTTTTAGCTTGCTGTGTAGTTTTGTGTTGTTTGTGCATAAGGCTTTATACTGTGAGAGAGACAGTCAACAGCAGTATGTGTGTGAGATAATATTTGCTAGTGTCTCACAAGAGAAATGTGACGCCACAAGTAATACATTATACAAGACTGGTAGCATCCAGTTGGAATCAGTCCCGATATCAATATTCTATCTTTACCAGTTACTGATTTGGTATCTAATACCAGATCAATAACTGCACACACACAGACACACACAGAGACCTGGCCTCTCTCCTCCAGCTCAGTGAGCATGACTATGGAGCAGCTTCTCCACTCCCAGATCATCCTCCAGAAGTCCTCTATAGTGTGTTGCAGGGGCCCCTGGCTCGCCATATAAGCATCCTTCTGACGATAGCCCTGTTACCACAAGGAGGAAAGAGACAGGAGTGATGTCCACGGAGAAAAAGTTTAATGATGCAAAAAAAGAGAGAGAACGAGAGCGGAGGGAAAAAGGTAGATGTAAAAAAACCCGATCGATTGCACGCATTAATGAAATGCTCCACTCTAATCCGGACACTGTTACACTTACATCAATGAAGGAAGCATTGACATAGTCGGTGTTCTCCTCTCCTCGTTTGACTGGAATGATCACTCTGTTGAACTCGTCTGTTAGAATAAAGGAGAAGCATTTCTCTTGATTAATGGAAAAAGCTTTAAGCGTTTGCACAGGAGCATATGCATTAATAAATACGCTGTTTTTATGCATTACTAATTCATATAGGCGCCAAATAAAAACCCACACCGCACAACTAAAATAGCTCGACTCACATGGAATGATCTGCAGAACTCTGTTCTTCTTCATGTTGACAGGAAGGTTGCCCGTTCTCATCTTGTCATTTTGAATCTTGATGGATGTCAGTTTCTAGAAATTACAAGATAACAAGCAAAAGTTTAAATTACTTCGAATTTCACAATATTACTAGTAGGAACCTCAATTGATACAAAATAATGCAAAAAGGAGGGGAGTAACAGAGGATAATTTGTCTTTGGAAGAACACATAAGCAGACCTTAAATTCAGCCTCCAGACCACTGCAGCCAGCTCCAGGTGAGGGCGCATAGAGTTTGGCCAAGTGGGATTCCAGTGAGGTCACCTCTAACTCTGTGTCTCCGTACAGATAGTGCTCTAACAGCGCTTGGAAGATAAAAACGTACTGCATCTGTGGGAGAGAGTGATGATTGTGCAGAGCAAGACGGAATAAAAGGAAATCGTGAATAAATGACTCCGATACAGAGTTTTGATAATTCAGTAGTTAGTGTCTAGGTTTTTGCTTCTGCATTATAATCATGAATCTACCGTTGGTGCTTTGTGTTGATACTCCACTTACATCTGTCTGAACCATTTGACAGCGTTGGGCTCTTATCCTGGTGACAAAGCCAAACACGTCCACCTTCTTTTCCGCGATCATCATGTCCAACATGGCATCGATCACAATAAAGGTACCAGTCCTCCCCACACCCGCACTGACAGAAGGAAACATGATCTTGTGAATTGCAAGTAGTGTGCAGAGAAATACATAACAAAAACACAGTGGGCGGCGTGAAGCACACCTACTTACCTGCAGTGAACAACAATGGGCCCAGCATACTGGGGGTTGCAGGCCTTGACCTTCTTTAGGAACTTGAGCATTCCAATAGGGGTGAAGGGCACCCCGAAGTCTGGCCAGCTGGTGAAATGGAACTGGGTGATGAGGCGCTGAGGCTTCTTCCCAGAAACATCTCCTACCTGAGACACAAACAACACACACCATAAAGTAAACCAGAATATATAAAAAAAAAAAAAAAACACAACAAATTTCACAGTATGTACAGAACAGACTTTACACTGATAAACCAGGCATGGAAACTTATTCTGATAATAAACTTCAAAACAATGAGTAAAGCTCAACAGTTAAAGGACAAGCATGGTACCTGTTGGATGCAGAACTTGCGGATGGTGTAATCCACTAGAACCATTGTGTCTTCTACAGACACCCGAATGTTCCCATATGTCCAGCAGCCCTGGTCCGGCCAGTACTGAGCACACTTACACTAAAAAATACAGAGTGATTGGAGACAAAGCACATGCGTAAAGAAGTGCATGTAATGAAACACTCAGGTATTACAGTATTGCTGTAGGATTAACAGAACAAGTACAGTAGAGAAAACAAAGACAGGTTAAGTCATGCTGTGAAGGTCTTTGCATAAGGACTCATACAAGGGGGGCTTTAAAGGAGCACTCAATTTACCATCTTAACTATATTATGAATGTGGATACAAATGCAATCGTTCATATGTTAAAAAGCTGTTATAACATCACATAAATCAAATTAGCTCAAAAGAAGCATCATCATCATCATGTGTCCAGCTCTCTCACCTCTTTTCTCTCCTTCAGATTGGTCACCATGACTATTGTGACTGTGTTCTGCTCCCAGATCATACGCCAGAAGTCATTTACAGTTTCCTCCTTTGGCCCTGAGAGATTGAGACAGATGAAGCAATCAAGAAGCACAATCAGGTTTATTATTAGCGAACGACGGCACAGTTTGTTTCTGCCTGACTGCAACTGCCAGCCTCACCTTGAGCTGCAATAAACTTGTTCTTCTCTTGGTAACCCTGCAGAAGTAAAAGGCCGAGAGGACACATTAGCATGACACTGAATAAAATGTGATCGGTAAAAAGCAGAACTGTGGAAAAGAAGCTCAATGTATATACAAACATTTATAAATGAGGCATTAATAAAGTCAGAGTCTGGGACTCCCTCCAGAGATGAGAGATGCACCCTGGAGTGATCATCTGGGAGAGAAAGAATGACACATGTTAATTCCACCTCAGTTTAATTGTGACTTTTTTCTTTTTGTAACTACGAGATCTGTTTTTTGTGTCAGTCAGTATCAGTCTGAGAGACGAGGTTTCACTTACATGGCAGGATATTCACATATCTGTTCTTTTCTTTATTCTCTTCCTTAGAGGCAGCGTCACACGTTGCCTGGATGGGGCAAACTGGCAGTGCCTAAAACAGGAGAAGAACACAGACATATTTATAGACAGCAGAGATTTGCATCAGTGTGACCATAAAGATAATTTCCTGCTCTTTTTGCCTACTGAACCTAATGCACATCACAAACTCATTTAGTGTGACTGCACAGTATGGTCTGTGCATTGATCAGGATTCATCCTTATTTATTCACCACAGTTTAGCTGCCTACTTTATTTTAAAACACTTTTAAAAACCTATTTGTTGTTGCTTAATTTCAGGTCTAGTTGAACAAAGTATCCTGGGTTTTATAATGCAAACAGAGTCTTATTTGCTTCTTTTATTTGGTTATAGTGTATGCTTATTTTTGATTTAGTGACTGTTATGTATAGTCTATACCTAATATAAACTGTACAGCATGTTGGTCAGCTGAGCTTGTTTAAAATGTGCTTTAGAAATAAACTCTCATTTTGTGCAAACAGGGTTAACTATTTAAGCCAGTGGCTCCTTAACCTTTTCTCTTCAACATTTCTTCTTCATGAAATGGAATCATCAGCCTTACATTTGTACTGCTACCACGTGGAGTGACTAACACGGCTCTTTACCCTTTAATCCATTACTTTTCCTACATTAAATGTAATTATGTAACAACTGAGTCTCATGTGGCTCTAAGTTTACTGGAGACTGTGCCTCCAGAATTAGCCAAGTCTAAATATGACTTTTGAACTGTTACTTGTCCTTTAATTGAAATATTTTTGCTTTTTGTTTTAAAGTTTTTCATTCTGATTTACTAATTAAACCAACAGAGTTGCATGCTATCAAAGAGTGCTTGCTTGAGTGTGCCATACATTAAACTCCTCTCTGAAGAGCTTGTTGTCATCAGCCATGCGACGGTTCATTTCTTCCTCCAGCTTGTCCACGGGAAGCGGCGGGTACTTCCTGTTTGTACTGGGTGAGCGGGCCAATAGCGGCACACTCTGGAGTTCTGTAGCAATGAGCAGGAAGGGAGGAGGCAGGAGCGAGGAGAAGGGGAAGGAACGGGAGGGGTAAGACAGGTAGAGATAAACACATGGGTAAGAGCATGAGACTAGAGATGACTTACATCATGCAACACTGACTTCATCATTCACTGTCTTTTCTTGAAACGCACAGCAGAGGGCGATGTGAGTCAGCGCTGCAACATATAGGACTAACTGCAGCTCTGCTGATTAGGTAATCACAGTGAACAAAAAGCTTCCTCCAGCAGTGAGCCAGGGAAATGTTATCAGTTGGGGAAGTAAGATCAATCGAAGCTTATCGGGGAAAAAACACTGACTAACAAGTCTGGTCAACCTGGCTGTGCATGTTTGCCCAAATGACCCAAATCAAATAAGCTCAGTATTTCACCGAGATTGTTGCCGTATCTGTCAACAAATACAAAGCACACACAAACACACAGTCACCCAGAGCTGACAAGCGATGCGCGATTGCTTTTACCTGTGTCGTCTGACCTGCCATTGGTCAGTCTGAAGGAGTTCGAATGGCTCCCTGCTTGTTTGTACTTCTTAAACCTGTCGATCAACAAAGATCAAAGTGCATTTTAACACAGATACACACTCTTACTTGATCTCGCTCTCTCACAAAAACACACTACTTTTGTCTCACAGCAGAATGGCAGTCAGTCATTGCCATGGTAACAGCAGCACCTCAGGCCCTCACCACAGGTCTCCGTGTCCGACAAACATCAACCGTAGTTTACCAACCTGAGCATGTAGAGGATTATGATGATGAAAATGATGACCAGCAGGGAGGACAGGGCCACCATCACGGCTATGATCGGCATGTCCCCAGCATCTTCGTCACCTACACGAGGCACAAAGGGAAAGGGCAGGATAACCGATAAATGCACAGAATTTTAGGGGGAGGGAGTCAACACCTGATCTGATTCAGTGCTTTGGTTAGATGCCAAATTCCAAAACCATTACTAAATTATTCTCGTGTTCCGGTGGGCCATAAAAGCATGTGCTGAACTTGCTAAATGTGAATGCTGATTAGCTTAACGTCCACATTTAACAGCAGACATGTTGTGTTCTTGGTGCACAAAATGTGTAGAAGAGTAATGTTACCAACACACCAAATATAACTGATGTCAAAGAATAGGCTGAGGCACTAAAGTTCTCTTTCGACATTCAAAAACTCAAAGCTGATTCACAACTTAACAGCTGGCAAATCAAACAACTGCCTTTACTGCCAGAGTTTAAAAAAAAGGAAAGCACAATCACGAGCAAATCCAAAATTTGTTGTATGTAAAGAATAAACACAATAGCACGTTGTTACATGTAATACTACAGTGAAGTTCTCAGTGGTTCAGGGGGAAATTAGGCTAACTCATAAGAGAGCAGAATAGCTAATGCCCCCTTGTTTATAGAGGGTGACAATCTTTATATCTACAAAAACGAGCAAGGACATTTTCACAGGACTCTATGCTGTCCAGCAGTGAGCAGCCAGGAGCTGCTAATTAAAAGCGCTTTATTAACTGATCATCAGCAAGTGTGACCAACTATATATAAGCAGAACATCTGACAGTTTGTTGGTCTGAAGCCACAATCTTCTCAGAAATAGATGTCTAATAAGCAGAGACCTTGCAAAAAAACCCAAGAGCTACATCTCAGACTCTACTCGAGCCTCAATTAGCATGTTAAATGTTAAAGTTCATGACAACACAAGCAGAAAAAGAGTGAACCAGTACAGTTTGTTTGGAAAGGCTGCCAGGAGAAAGCCTCTTCTCTTTAAAAAGAACACGGCAGCACAGCTTAGCTTTGTAAAGTTGAATCTGAACAAACCACAAGACTCCTGGAACAATTTCCTTTGGAGAGATGACACTAAAGCCGAGATATTTGGTCATAGTGCAATGTTTGGACAAACAGGTTAATCAGCATTAACACCTAACAGCATAACTGTCAAGCACAGCAGTGGAGGGGTGAGGATTTGGACTTGTTTTGCAGCCACAGGACTATGAGCACCTTGCAGTCACTAAGTGAACCATGAACTCCTGTATAAGTATTCTGGAGTCAAATGTGAGGCCCTCTAAATGACAGCTAAAGCGGGTCCTCCTCTGTTGTCTGCCAACAGTGAGCTCGGACTCTTTCAACATCATCCTGCACTTTTCCCTTCCAGAATGGCCATCCGTGTTAATATTTCATTGCATGGCTTTAAGAAGGAAAAACCCACAAATGGAGAGAGCAACAGGCTGTCCCTTAAGAATAAGCAGAAATCACAGTTTAACTGTGAAGGTCAAAAACTGGTTACACCCAAGATGACAGCACACACAGGATGATGGTATAAAACACTGAAACTTTAAAGAGGTTTGCTGTGAATTCAGTCTGAATTATTAAGAGCAAATTTTAAGCACTTTTTACATATCAAGTCTCTACAAGCCTCTATCCTGCTGTGATGTTCGTGACTAGCAGGAAAGGATTGCAGTCACATTGCCAAGTTACCTGTTCTTCGTGATGTTTCTGGGCTGTTACTTGACATTTTGTATACGTCACCACCATGTGCAAAAGTTACTATTTGAAGACCCTGTGGTCTTCTGGTGACCTTTCACTGCCACAGTTGGAACAAAAGACATGAGATTTGCCCTAACAACAAGGGTCGTTTGGTGTGCAAATAATGGCTGCCGTTTGTGTGTCGATGACTCGGCAGTAAGACACGTTAGGGCCAAACAAAAGGAGAGGATTTTCTAGAAACCTGCACTGTGGTGATCACAATGGAAAGACAACGTCAGCTCTTCTGCGGGCTAAATTCAAGAAAGTTCTCAACATTGCAGACAAACTATGCTGCAAAGAATGCATCATTTGACTTCTAGCTCTGTACACACTTTCTGGGAGAAGTATTTTGGAACGACGCCCAGTTGTGTTGCTTATTCCTCGCACAATTCCCAGGACTTTTCAGTGTTCCCCTTCGGACAATGTCTACATTGAACAGAACAAGAGCACAACAGGCTATGAGTATCATGTGGAACTGACACAGCCTTGACGGATCTAATGCCATTTACAACTGCTCGCAACTTTCCACACAAAGCTCACAGACGGCCAGAGATAGACAATAGAGCAATTACATAACACCTGTGAACCCATGATGATTATGTCACACATGCCCTATAGTGCTGTGTAGCCACATTTACATTGACCAGGACTTAAGGTAGATAGCTTGATGTGTATTGGAACCCCTATTGGAACATCTACAAACACATCAGGTATGTGTTTTTGTACCAAAAAAATCAATTAAATTAAAAAATGGTCAGCGGATGCTTTCATTATTCCATTTTTATTTCAGAGACTGGTAGGAGTGAAATTAAAAGAAGCAGACATTTTGTTATTCATTTATGAATCTAACAATTTTATGCTAAAGTAGAGATTTTCAAGTAAATTGGAAAGCACTCCCATTACCCTTCTAGCACCCTTCTACCCTTCTAGCAGTGCAGTTTTGCAAAATTAGGAGGTAATAAAAGACTTTTTTAAATACACAGAGTACCTTCTAATTCTGACTGTAAGTGATAGCTAGATGGAAAAATAAACTCAATGAACAAGAAGCCAACAGGACACAACGATCATGTTGCTACTGACAGTTTAATGCACCCAAGCCTGGTTTTAGATTAAACATCTTGTAACTGTGTGGCGCCATCGGGGTCTGTGGGCTACTCTTGGTTATGCTATTGTTGGTCAATTTTGTTGCCGTGCCGAAGACCGAAGTTATAACATACAAAAAGCTTCTTTTGTAGTGAAGTAAGCGCTTTTCTCCGGGCTTCTGACGTTTGCTTTATTTATTGTAGATGATTCTTTTTATTGCATGTTTCTCCTTGTGGTGAACTTTACTTCTCTTTGATGCAATCTTTGCCAGCGTTCAGCATTCGACTCGTGTGTAATGTCATCACATGTTTTATGGATGACTGAATGTTGCAAGTTACATATCTATAATTTTAGACTCTTCATAGGTAAATACCAAATAAGTGCAATAGACTTAATTCATAGTCTAATACTACACTTCATATTCTGGAAAAAATAAATACAATCCAACCTGCTATTATTACACCATTATAATGATCTTCCAAATCAACCAGTGACGTTCGACAGTGACTGTTATACTTCTCTGTAATTTCGTAATATGAATAATTAATGTGAAAGAAAAGGTTGGTGGTCTCGTGTTTCACTTGCAGGGGTATTAGCAGGATTTTCAGCGCACAGACACAAAGCTAACACCAGAAATCTCCCAGGTTTCAGTCTGAAGCTGAACAAACATGCTGTTTATTTAACACAATAAAGGTTCTAATAAATCTGTAAGATTCTGAAGAAGAAAACTTTGTTATTATGTAAAAGTTTTTGGCAGTGAATGCGTGGATGAGTGGTCAAATGCAGGTATGTCACGTCAGGATATTTCCAGCACTGCGACAATGGAGTCTAAAAGCAGAAAAATGTTCAACCATCTAAAATATTAAAGATTGACTCTTGACCAGAAAGCGCACTTGCTTGCTGTTTTAAGCTTCTGCTTTTTTGCACAAATAGAGCACAGCTAAAGGAAAAAAACACCTTGACACTGTGTTTATAAGTAATCCATGATCTTCATTTATTCATGGAGCTGTTCTAATCTAGTGTCGCTGTCTGGTCATATCCAAATTCCCTTATCCTCTTTTGTCTTCTTTTACTCTGCTTCAGGCAGGATCTGTTCACACATAACAATAAAAATGTGTCGTAGACAATCTGATGCCAGGCAGAAGGCTCTAACTACAGGCATGAAAGCACCAAGAGGCAATTTATTCAGAAGGGACACACTCGCATGGACCTCCATAACACCATCATGGAGCAGAAGAGCTCTCTGATCTTACCCAAACAGTTTGAATAAGGTTTTAAAGTATAACGCAGATTACACAGTCGTCACATGATGATCAGCTGATATGGTTTCTGCTCAGTAACAGATAAAGCCAAACTGATCGAGAGAATAAAATCTAATCAGAAGTGACATATTTACTAAGGTATGAACTTTTAGAATTTAATAATTTCCTACACTTCTCTTAAGACTGAACATCTGCAGTGAAGGTGAAATTATTAACTTCTTAAACACAGCTTTACTCCACAGACAGCTGTGGTTGGGAGGCTCTCATCACTGGTCAGACGAGTTCTAATTTTTCTTCTTTCAGGGCTGCGAAAGTTTTAAAATATTTTTTATAATATATATGTTACATACTATGTTTTATAGCTACACTTTCAGAGATAAGAGATTCAGATGTAGATGGAGTCTTGATGCAATCGAACTGGATTATCTTATTTATATACAGTGTTTGGATAATATGAGAAATGACTCAAGAGCAGTTTCATTTGTAATTTAAGAGGTTTGACAAAAATATTGGATTCATTGTTTAGGAATTACAATCATTTTCACAAGGACTGATTTTAATACTTAATGTGTTTTCTGTATTATTGTAGGGTCAATATAAGGTGCCTTGAGGTGACTGTTGTTGGGATTTGGTGATAAATAAATAAAATTAAATATGAATTGAAAATCTTTTGCCATAACTTATTACAATTACTGAAATAAGTCAGTAATTGTCTGTCTGGAACCTACAGGACTTCACAACATTCAGTGTTCCCTCCCTTTAACTACTCTGCTGGGCCTTTACAGCAGCCACCTCCAGTTGCTGCTTGTTTGTGGGTCTTTCTGCATTCAGTTTTGTCTTCAGTAACTGAAAAGCTTGCTCTGCTGGCTTGAGATCAGCTAACTGATTTGGCCATTGAAGAATATCCCTTTTCTTTGCCTTGAGAAACCCTTGGGTTACTTTCACAGAATGCTTTGGCTCATTATCCATTTGCACTCTGAAGCAAATGGATAATGAGTACAAATGGTACAAATTAAACTTGGTTTCATGTGTCCAGAGATTTTTCCAGCACTGTGCAGGCTCCTTTAGATGTTTTCTGGCAAAGTCTAATCTAGCCTTGTTGTTCTTGAGTGTAATCAGGTGTTTGCACCTTGTTGTAAACCCTCTGTTTTTCCATTCAAGTCCTCTCTTGATTGTAGAAATGATCAACAGAGGTCTCCTTCACTTGCACTGACATCTCTCTGGACCACATTCAGTTCTTGTATAAAAAGGTCTGTAATTCCTAAACAGCAGTTTTGAATTGTATTTATATAGTGCCCAACAAGCACCCCAAGGTGCTTTATACTATAAGGTATAGCTCCTACAATAATAGCGAGAAACCCTAACAGACCCCTATGAGCAAGATCTTGGCAACAGTGGGAAGGAAAAACTCCCTTATAGCTGGAGGAACCAGCCTCAGGGAGGGGCAGCCAACTGCTGTGACCAGTTGGGGTGAGGTGGGGGAGCAGGAAAGGAACACTGTGGAAGACAGCCACTACAATCCAATTTTGATTGTTTGATTTAAAATCCTGTGGCAATGAAAAAACAACAACCCCAAAACAAAACAAACAAACAAACATGCCAACTGTGTCACTGATGGACCTAACTGTAATTTATTTATTATAACATGAGAGGTTTTTTTTTGGTCATTTTCACCATTTTTCTCTGTTGGCTACGACAATGTATCAATCATGTGTGATCTGGGACCACCGGGCACCATCAAAAAAAATTTCTGAACTTAAAATTCATATTTATAAAAGCTCTTATATAAACCTTGATTTTAAATCCCACTAGTCTGGAATTTTGACTGACCAGCTTATTTGTTTAAGGCTTGTAAAATCGAAATCTGAAATGTTGTGTTTCTTGCCCCATCTGAGTACCTTTTAGGGAGGCCTCCTTGTACTCAGATGTCAGCACTAACCTTGACTACATTGTGCGTGTGAGTAGAGATGGGAACGATGGCAACAACTACCATACATTTACCTGAAAAAATAATAATCTGAAATCTTCCTTTCATCATCCTCAAACTATTTCACTATAATCTAAAAGGTTTATATGCAAGAAGAGAAAAAAAACAATGATGTGTGCATCACTCACTATTAGGGGTGGATGTTGTTGTGGTTGTCGGAGTCGTTGCAGTCTCTGGAGATGTGGCTGAGGTCTCATCATCTCCTTCCGATATGCTAGGAGTAAGTGGAGGGTTGATGCTTGGTGGTGCCTGAGGGGTAGGAGGTGAAGCTAGCTGTACTGTGGGTGTTGAACTATTGAGTTCTGTGTCCTGATTACTATCTAGGCTTGTGTCTGTGGTAGCTGCTGCTTCTGCTGCTTTTGTTGTTGTCGTTGTCGTCGTGGTTTTTGTTGTGATTGCTGCTGATGTAATGATAGCTTGGGCAAGCTTTGTGGGTGGGTGTGTAGGGTTTGATACTGGCACTCCATCCTTGAGGGAGGGTGCTGTAGATGGCTTTGTGGGTATGGTAGTAATATCTGGAGGACCTGTTGAAGAAAACAGTACGTAATTTTAACCTGTAAAAATGAGAACATAAAGGCATTTGAATTAAATGTGGAAATGGCTCATACCTGTGACAGGGGCAAGATCCTCGGCTGAGCCCCCCAGGGCTACACCAAGTAGCAGGAGCAGGGCGCACACACCCATTCTGCCCTACGTAAGTACACACACACACACACACACACACACACACACACACACACACACACACAAGAAACAAAATCGTATTAGTCAAATTAATCTCACTGTGTTTGATTGATTTTTTTTTCAAAAGATAA